GAGAAGTTTGGCTTCCAGTTGGTGGTTTCTTACGCTGTAATAAAATGCCACCAGTATTGGCTTGGGGATGGCGTGGTGCTGTGGAAGAATTGCCTTTTGGGCAGCAGGAGTGCTAAGAAGGGTGACAAGGCAGATGGGACCTCCTATACCAGGATGCTGGAGGATGCTAAAGATTGGGATGACATCTATGGTGGCCAAACAAGGGTTGCCGTAGCTCCCTGACATGGTGATTTGGGACTTAAAGGGCTGGTCCCCAGTGGATTTGGGACCTGAGAGGGCCACACATGAATCTAAATGAAAAGAGTGCATCTCAAGTCAACGGGGACTCCTGCCTCTCCAGTGTAGATGGGACACTGAAATACCGTTTTCCCTGACAGAGATGTGAAAACCACTGAGATGTAAAGAAGGAGATTCCTAATCCCACCTAACTGTGCCCTAGACCCTTTCTTCCCATGCTTCAGAGCCCCAAATCCCCATCCCACCAAAAATATATATATGGATAAGCTTCACCCCCCATCAGCAAGCTCCCTATGCTTTAGTCCAGCTTCACCCAAACACAAGCCTCCCCCTCCTGCCTTTCTTTCATCCCAGCACCTTCTGCAGACCCCAGGCAAGCAGAGAACTCAGGGAATTTGGGGAAGGAGCGGCGAGAAGAACCCAGGAGCATGGGCTGAGCTGAGGACCCCTGCGCTTTGCCTGCAGCCACATCCAGCCCTTCCCTATAACGTGCTGCGACACCGAGAAAAGAGAGCCTTCTGCAAACCTCCAGGCCAGGTGCCAGCTCCCTTCCCTCGCTCAGGGATGTGAATTTTCTCCACGGGGAGGAGGACGAGCTAGTTACAGAGACAGCCTGTCATCCATCTTGAAGAAAATACTTCTCTCTCTCTCTTTGCACCTCTCCTAGAAAGGTGGCCATCAGCCTGCCGCAAGCCCAGGATCGGGCCCAGAGAAAAAAAAAGCTTTGACTCATTTGTTTACCAGCTCAGGTTTCCTGGAGCTAATTAATGAGCCAAGCTGATACCCTGCAACAGGTATCGATGACAGGGGGATTTTCCTGCGTGCTTGCACTTGAGCTCCGGGAGAAGGCGAGTTTGGCTCTATGATCACACTGTGATCACATCCCTCCCTCCCAAAAAAAGGGGAGAAAATAAAAGCCATCTGCAGGCACCACGGGGAAGCCCCTCCATCATCTTCCTCCCCGGGAGCGATGATGGGGCACCATTCCTGCTGGACGATACTCTGGGCTGACTCCCAGGAGCAGAGCGATTGGGCATTCCCGGTTTCCCATTTGTAGGGAGAAAAGGCTGGGACCCAGCCCCCGAGAAAGCCCCTGGGGCTGGGGGCTGTTTTCCTCCCCCCCCCATCACCCCCTCACCCTCGCCCGGCGAGCACTCTGGAGAGCCCAGAGCTGCCCGAATAGCCTCAACCCCCATCACCCCCTCACCCCTACCCGGCGAGCACTCTGGAGAGCCCAGGGCTGCCCGAATAGCCTCAAAAAAGCTCAAACTGGGGAGAAGCGGGGTTGGGGGGGATAAAACATGCGGAGGAGTATGTTAAAAAAAACATGCGGGGTGGGGGGGGGCTGGAAGAAGCCCCTGGGAAGGTGATGCTGGCGGAGTGGGGGAAAAACCCCGTGTTTCGGGTGCGGGGGGTGTGAGGGAGCCCTTATTGCGAGCTCCAACCGTCTTGGGAGGGGAGGATGTATTTTTTGGGATGGGGGGGTAAGGGTAAGGGGAAAGGGGGGGGGTGGGTACCACTCCGCCGGGCTGTACCGAGCGCTCCGGGGGCGGCGGGCGGCGATAACCGGGCTGCGAGCGCCACCTCCCCGCCGCTCGCCGCAAGCCCCGGCTGTCCCCCCCGCTACCAAAAAGATTTGGGGTGTTTGGGGAAGGGGGAGGTGGGAAATGGACCTTGAGATTAGGTTGAAGTGCCCCCTCCCACCCTCTTTCCCAGCCTCTCCCGACCTCTTCCTCCTATGGGGAGGAAGAAGGGTGTTTGTATGGGGGTGCCGCTAAGTTTGGGGGGGGGTTGTTTGGTGTAGGGGGGTGCTGCAAGGGAGGGAAGGGGTCTGTGTGTGTCCCAGATCACCCCTCAGTGCCTTCAAGTTGGAGGGCAACACGGCTCTCCTTGGGGGGCACAAAGCAGTGGGATAAAGGGGTGCTCCCCACGCCTCAGATGCTGCCTTGGGCTACACCTTGGGGATGTGACTGGGGTACAGGAGCCTCTGTACACACACACACCCCCTTCCCAGTCCAGGTATGGGGTCTGGCACACCTCCCCTGCCTCAGTTTCCCTCTTGTAAGGGGAATAAGCGTACAGCCCTGTGGAAAACCACCCCACTCTACAGTCAGTCTTTCCCTGAGCCTGTCCATCTTTGCTGGTCAATTATGAGGGGGCTCCAAGCCTCTATCCCTGCACCCGGGGCTCTGCAAACACTATCCCAAGTGCCACGGAAAGGGCCAGGAGACCTGCTCCTTCCCTGTCCTGCTCCTTCCCTGCCTGTGCCTTAACCCCATCCAGTCCCTGCCTGGCCTTCCCCCTCACTCTCCGCAGCAGAAGGGATGCTGCACCCTGACCCCACTATAACACACCGAGCAGAGCATGGGGGTCCCTTCTTTCCCCCCCAACACACAGCTCAGCACCCCTGCTCTCCCCATGTCCCTCTGCTGCAGCTGAGACCCACCGGGCAGGATGTCCTTCCCTCTCAGCCCCCTGCTTGTCCCCTGCTTTAGCCCCCTGGCCACCCTGTCCCCTGGCAGTGCAGCTTGGCTGAGAGCTGGTGCAATTCCTCACCCCCCTCCCAGGCTAAAAAACCACCCCCCCACTCTGCCCTGCGACCTCCCTCCTCTTCCTCAGCCAGATCTTGGGGCACGGTAAGGACTGCGGGACCCAGGTTAATGAGTCATTAATTAATTAGGGACCCCACTTAATATGCACGGGGAGTTGTTTGTTTCCTTTAGCAGCCCGGGCTCTTTGGATGAGATCCCAGCCCTGCGAAGCCTCCCAGCCTCATCTCCCAGCTGATAATAGATAATACAGATATTTCAGCACCAGCCAAAGCAGAGTCATCATCATTAATACACAGTCCTCCCTGCTACGCGGCGGAGGTCGCCAGTCAACGCCGCGGAGTGCCCAGGGCTCGTCCCTCCTGGCTTTCCTTAAGCTTTACGTGGCCAGGAGAGAGCAAACCTATAGCTCATCAACAGGTAAAGGGGCCCGGGGGGTGGTGGGTGCACCCAGCACCCTGACTACCCCCCTGGGAGAGCATCCTCCCAGGGAGCAGGGGCTTTGGAGGCGCTGCGATATTCGCTCCGCCACGCAGGCAGGTTTTGGCATCTGTCAAAGTAGCTTCGCTCTTCCTCTTTCTCCCCCCTCCTCTTCTTCTCCCCCCCCCTTTTCCCCTCCTCCTCCTCCCTCAGCCATCAGCTGTCAGCTGGCCCTGGAGCTCGCCAGACCCAGCACCGGAGCTGGATTGAGCTTGAGCCCCAGAAAGCCCCAATTCTGAAGGGATGGGGGGGTCAAGGGATGCGGGGAGGGGGATGAGGGTCTAATTTGCCCTCCATCCCTTTGACCTTGCCTTGAGGCTCCCCTCCCCACCACCTCCTCTCCTTGCAACCCATTCATGGGGGGGTCGTTTCCTTGGCCAGGGCAGGATGAGGGACACCAACGTGAGTCACAAGCCGAAGGTACCTTGCAGAGTTGATCTGCAACCCGTGCCTTCGATTGCCAGGGGACTGCTGCCTTCTCTCAGCCAGGACCGGGGCACAAGCAGGCTAAAAAGTCCCTCGGAAAGCCCTACCTGCTCCTTTCTACCCCGTTTTTTTTTTCCTTCCAGCCTTGGCAGAGCCATGGCTGAAATACCTCTCTGCGAAAGAAAAGTCTGAAGATGCATCAACAGCCACCCTCCATCAGCGAATGTCAGGCCGTGAAAGGGAAGGGGGCGGTGGGGGAAGAGGGAGAGACAAATTTTGCGATTCATTCCCACACAGGGTGATTCAGAACAAGATGCTTTGTAATTACGCATCCCTGATGGAGACTCCTTCTCTCTCTCTCTCCACCACCACACACACACGCACACCCCAAAAAGAAAGGCTAAGCCATGCCTGGGTGCCAACATCCCCCCAGGAGCCCAGCTCCAGGAGCAATGTGTGTGTGTGTGTGTGTCTGTGCCACACTCTGATCTTTACACAGTCTAAAGGCTCATTTTCTCCTACAATGAGAAGGTAAGTGCCGATAAACGGCACTGAGAGGGGGGATATTAGGAGCTCATCAACTCCCCAGCCATCGCCTCCAGCCCTGGGAGGCGGCAAAACAATTAACGACCCCACACACAACCTCCCCCCCAAAAAAAAACTCTTCAAGGAAAAGGAGAAGGAGCTGGGATGGGGGCAAATTCACGCCTGGGGCGGGCAACTGCCTATCCCTCCGAGACTTTGTTTGCCAAGGCTGCAGGCTGAGGAGTCCCGGAGCCCAGGGCTACCCAAAAAAGGCACCGAGGCTTCCCAGCACTTTGCAGTTGAAGCCCGGCTGGCTCTGCAGCTCTCCCGCCGCGATCCCCCTCTTCCCTCGCCTCCCT